AGCTAGCTTTAAACAACTTAAATCATTCCTGGTCTTAAGCATAGGCTATCTGGAATTTGTTAGATAATTTCTTTTCTGATGAATGAAAATCCTGATGAAAACAGTTGGAGCTCCATCTGGTGTTGGAAATATCCTATTTATTTATTTAACATATTGCTATGCTGCAACAACTTTTGGCATTTACATAGAAAAAGATACCAGATAAAAAGATACCCTATAAAACATATCCAATTTATACACACATACACAAACACACACACACACTGGCACTATAATAATAAAAAGAAGATAGAATAGTGATGTTCCTTAGTGTTCTCTGAACTTGGTTATTTTCTTGCAGAGTTGCTAGCAAGAAGTTGCCTGCATTAAAAGCATTTGGCTTCAATTCTTGCTAACTTTAGTTTAGAAAAAGTCAAAAGATAAAATTGCTCATGCTTGATGAAGTGACTGGAAGAACATCTTCAAGATCATGGCCAACAAATTTGATTTTATGGATTCTAATAAATGCAGCGTCCTGTTATGTGAGCTTTGAGACTTATGGGCTGGGCTTCTGCCCTTCCTAGCTTGTTTGACCTGCTAAATAAGGAGCTGGGAAGCTGGGATAAAAATGCCTCTATGAAGGAGAAAGTAGTATCGGAGAAGGTGACATACTACCCACCTCTGAAATGCTCTCCCTATATCTAACAATATAATACAATTTATATTCCAAAAAGTGATTAGGTCTCAGTTGCAGAGGACATTGGAAAAAGTGGTTTATCTGAATCCTCATCACTCCAGTTTCAGGCTTCAGTGTGAGGCAAAAACTATTTTATAGTAATTACGATGATTTCCAAAAGGATCTAGATAAGGGAAAAGCAGTTATCTTGATCCTATTATATGATAATGTTTTTGGGAACATAGGTGAGGGATGGATCTCAGAAATAATATTTTATTAGAGATCATATTCCTTCCTAATGAAGCAGTTCAAGTCAGTAATGATGGAAAAGAGAAATCAAGATCTTGCCCAGTACAATATGCAAAACCAGGGCTTGGTCCTCTCCCTTATCTTATCTAGAATCTTAACGAAGTCATGAGAAGAGGTCATATATTCTCTTCCAGAATCAGAAATCATCAGTAGGCTAACAATTCCCAGTTATACATTACTTCCCTGGGCCAAGCAGGAGATGTAGTGGCTGCACTAACCCTGGGTATCTGGAAGCTACCAAACAAGTTCACACAGCAAGGGGGAATGGCTGTTTACTCTAAAACCATTTGGCTCCAACTTTGGCTGTGTCTATCTGTGCTATCCCTAATGAGCAGGTCCATGATCTGGGAACAAAGGAATCCATTCCTGTGATCTATGCATTGTGTTGTTATGATGTAGGCTTTACTTTTTCAGATTTCTTTTGCAGTGTTTCATGAAAATACGCAAGGGAAGGAATTCAAGTTATGAGACATGTTTTGTCAATTGCCCTTCTCTCTCCCTCCCTGAACATCCCTGTCTAGGGATCCTTTTGGATACATGGACCCTCCTGGAAGCTGTATCCCAAAGAGATTGTGCTCAATTTTGGTTGGTGCGCTAGATGAGTTACTCATGCCCTCATTCCCTTGTGGCTGAACTATCAGCATCTTACATTGCCTTTGAAGGCTATTTGAAGGAACTGTAATTGGAATAGGCCAAAAACTGATTCAGCAAAATAACACTGATTTTTTTGGTACCCCACTGAGTAGCTGTAAGTTTCCAAGTACAATTCAAAGTATTGATTATTGTAAAGTTTTTGATGTTTAGATACTAGGGCCTTTCAGGATTGCTAACTCCAAGGGACCAGGATGATGATTCATTTAATGATTTTAATATTTTGATGCTTTGTTGTTTTATGTATATAAGCTACCAATTCTTATTATTGAAGTGCCACAGAAATCATGACATATAAATAACCTATTTAGTTCAGATTCTAAAGAGATATTCTGATTGGATAAAATGGAATAATTTTGGTTTTATATACTTTTCTTAAATGTAAATAAGAGAACATTCGTTATAGAATAGAACAGAATAGAATTCTTTATTGGCCAAGTGTGATTGGACACAAGGAATTTGTCTTTGGGAGGTGGTGCTTCATGTCGCGACAACACAACATGCAATTTTGGTGCACCAGGATTGTCAATATCTGTCAATATCTCTGCTGCTAGATGGTCCTTTTGTACCTAAACTGTCCCGTAGATAGAGAAGGGCATGTCCTACTGATCTCAGGGACATCACAAAGTCCCTGACTGATCCAGGAGAAGCCCTTTTTTCCAGCCAAAGAATAGCAGCCATTGAAGCTGCACAAGTTGGGACAGTTCCTGAATGGAAGAAAAGCAGGAGAGAGAGTGTGTCGAAATGGTGAGATAAATTTTAATATTAGAGAAGAGAACACCCAAAAAGACTTAGAGTAAAATTAAAATTGAAGACAGAAGAAAGCAAGCGGTGAATTAAGCCTGGATTAAAATTAGTGTGTAATCTTTCTTTCTTTAATTTTGGGGGCTTTTATGGATGGAATTTTTACAAATGCCTCTTACTTTTTAAATTGGACTGGTATGTTTTTCCCTTCTTCTATTTTTCCCCATTTTTTGTATTGTGGATCAAGAATCTCTTTCTTTTCAACACTCGGCTGGAACGTACATTTTAAACATTTTTTTTCTTTTCTCAATCTCAGAGCTTAAAGAGCGGGGTAAAAACAGAGGAAAAAAGTAACACTGCCACCTAGAGGCTGGAGGCTTGGAACATTTTTTTTTAAGGCTTCTGACTTTGTTTATTGAATGGGACGGTGGGAAGAGTACAGTTTGTTTATGCAGGTGCTCTTCTGGAGTACTATCAGTAGCAGGACTGGAGTAAAGAGCAAGCCTTGACTTGAAAGATTACAGTGAATCTGTTTGAAACCTAGCAAAAAGCCTTGGATGTCTTCGTGGCAGTGTTTACAACTTGGAAAAATGGTGCAACATGAAGAAGAAAAAGAATTAACATTGCAAATAATTATGCTAGAAATTCAAAAATACAAATAAGTACAGAAAACATTGAAAAGAGATTTGAGATTATAGAACAAAGAACAGAAAGAATGGAGGGAAGATTTGAGAATATTTTCAAAACTATGATGAAATTTGAGGATAGAGTTCAAAAAATTGAAGGAAAATATGAACAAAGTGATAAGAAAATTGTTGACATTGACAGTAAATTGAGCGTGGAGGGAAATGATAGGAGTGGAATATCGGAAGGAGAGGTTGACGAACTGGAACTCTATCTCAGACTTCAAAATATGGAGGAAGAAAAAGGAGGAAATCTGGCAGAAATAATGAGGAAAAACTTTGACAGAAGCACCAGTGACAACTAAAGGCAAGCTGATGGAAGGAACAGATGGAGGGTGTCAAGTCTTTACACGATATGCAATGAACAAGTTGCCAAGAGAAGTCTATGTAAAACTTTTCAAGAACACAATTAGAATACAAATTTTACAAATAGCAAGAGATATAGGACTGCACTACTACTGGAAGGATACAGGATGATGAAATGAAATGTCATAATAAAAAATTAAGTTAAACTTAGTTAAATTTTGCGTAGTATGTATAAGACAAAGTAATAATAGTTTATAGTCAAATAAAAGATTAACAATGATAATAATGCATATATATACATTAGATTAATAATATGAAATTTTACATAAATTGTAAGAGAGGACTATGGAGATGATGTTGAAAAGCTTTGTTATAAAAGATAAATAATTCTATATAGAATAGAATATAAAGATGTAATATTACTGGATGATTCCAGGATGATGTAATGAAATGCCATAATATAAATTTATTTTAAATTTAGAATATTTCACATAAAAAGGATGCAATAATAGCTATAGTCAATGAATGTTTAATAATCATAATAATTCTATACATATATATTAGATTAATGATATGAGACTTTATGTAAATTGCAAGTGAAGAATATTGTGAGGAGGCACAAAAGCTTGGTAACCAATCAACAAACTGTAGGAAATTCGAGGATGGTTTTTATACTTCGTGTGTGTCTATGTTTGTTTGTTTTATGATTGTTTAAAAATAAAAACTTTTGTTTAAAAAAAGAAATTTGTCTTTGATGCATGTACTTTTATTGTACATAAAGAAAAATAAAATAGAATACATTCATCAAGAATCATAAGATACAACACTTAGTGATAGTCATATGTTTTATTGCTAATAAGCAATAAAATTATACTAGGGAACAAATGAAATAATATAAATTTTAAAGATACAAGCAACATTGTTATAGTCATAAGTGGAAAGAGATAGGTACTAGGAAAGAAGAGAAAAATAACAGTAATACAGCCTTATTAGATAATTTGACAGAAAAAATAATTTATTGTGAGAGAAATGTCATCACAATCATAACAAGAGTATGCTTCTCCTTTTTTCTGTTTTAATACAGTTGTTCATCCTTGTTCTTCCAAGCCTTGTTCAAATTACTCAAAGAATTGTGTCGAGACAGGAAATGGTGGATACACTTGCTTGTGCGCTCACGGCTATATGGGAAAAAACTGTCATATGAAAAAGGGACCCTGTATTGTTAATGGGTAAATATGGATTACATTTGTTGATTTACATTTGACTTTGGTGACTAATCCAATCTTCTTCAGTTTGACACTTTCCAGATGTATTGGCCTGGCAGCTGCTAGAATTCCCAGTGAAAATTGTTGAATGGAATTCTGACGTTCACAGCCCCACAATGTCTGTCTTTCTAATTCTGTGCCTGTTCTCTACCCTAGCAAAATGGAGACCGGGGGAAAGAATGTAACTTGTAAATAGGAAAGCAAATTCCTTATTTAGATAAAATTGATATATTCATTTGTTTTTGGTGTGCTCTGCTTACTTTTGGCCTCAGTGCCAAAACAGAGAAGGAAAAAAACAAAGACCTGAAGTTGGAGGTTTGGCCTTTTTGCCATTGAAAGGAGGCTGTTTTGTTACTGATGTGTTTGTTCTCAAGCAGTAAAACAAATTAATATGGTGAAATCATTTCTTACTTCATGAGTTGAAAAAAAGAAAACATTGAGTGTCATTTTGATTGGAAAGTTGTGGGTAATACCACAGTTGACTACAGGAAAACACTGAATGTAGATTCTGTAGTTAGCTGCCATGTTTTATATGATGTTTTTAAACCCGATCTGAAAGTCTTTACTCAACTATGTTCCAGAACTATGTTCCCAAATAGTAGCTTTGAACAAGAATTATAATATTTGTAATACGAAACCGAGACTTTTAAGCATGACTATGTAATTGTTTTCCTAATTACAATATCAATTTCTTTTTTATTATTTTTCCACAGTAAATTATACAATGAGTTAGATGAAATACATGAGGACACAAACCTTAAGAGTAGAGAGACACTTGTCAAATATTTTTTGATCTAATAGCATTGCAGATATTTGTTGGACACCAGTAACTTTTCAGTCCTCAATATTTACTTTTTACCATTCATTTTTAACATTACAAAAGTCCATGGCACAAGAATTACAAAAGGCCAAGAATATGTCCTATTGGTTCTAGACTGATCATATCCTAGGTCCGTGATGGGAAACCTATGGCAGGCATGCTGGAGCGTGAAAAACTGGCCCTACAGGCAAACCAGAAGTGACTTCCGGTTTGGCCATAGCACCATTTTTTGCTCTCTGGAGCCTTCAAAGAAGGCTCCTAAAGGTTCCGGAGGGCGAAAAACAGCCATACGAGCAAACCGGAAGTCTGTTCCCGAACTTCCAGTTTACCCATAGCGCTGGTTTTTTGCCCTCCGGAGACTTCAGGGAAGCTCCTGAAGCCTTCAAAGGGCCTCCAGGGAGGTGGGTGGGGGTGTTTTCACCCTCCCCAGGCTCCTAGAAAGCCTCTGGAGCCTGGGGAGGACAAAAAAGGTGCTCCAAAAGCGGGGTGAGAACTGGTCGCGTACACATGTGCGCAGGGGGGTGAGTGCATGCATGTGTGCTGGGTCACATGCATAGCATTATGGGTGTGGTATGCCTGTGCACAACCCCCCTGAGCTCCCCCCACTTTTGGCACAGGAGCCAAAAAGGTTCATCACCACCGTCCTAGGTTTTTGTTGTATTTAAGTACAAGTATCAGAGACTTAATGTCTGACTTGCTTTCAAAGAAAGACATTTGGTTTCCAGAATCATGGTTTGAACTTTGTAGATAGGTTGCTGGCACAAGATAAGATGTATCTTGCAGGAACTGATAAAAATATGTTGACTTTAAATGCAAACCAATGAGTGGTGGAAATGCAATAAGACCTCCTAAAGACTTGTGCACTGTAGAAGTTGCTGAAATGAGATTCTGAAAGCACACAAAGAAAAATCAGAATATTGGCTCAGAAAATTTATGACTTTCATTAGTTATAAACTAATATTAAGACCATGGGAAATAAGAGGAGTCTGAGCTGTGAGTATAAAAGGCAAAAATGATTTCATAAACACGGCAAACATATGGTATGATGATTCTCTTGGAATGCAGCGATTGAAAGATACAATTTCTTCAAAAGGAACAAAAGCAGAGAAAAGGAAGAAGAGAACTACTTTTTTAAAAAACAGAACGTTGCAATACTGTAGAATACATCTGGGTTAAAGTAAATGAACAAAAAAAGTAATACAACTATTGTCTACTCTTCCACACCCAATCAGGAAGAAGATATGGATGCAGCCTTCCAAATCAAATTGCAGTTTTGCTAAAGAGTTGCCTATGATCCCAGGCAGTCAAGCTGTCAATCCCTTTTCACAACAATGAAACAGGAGTCTTTATGTGCCTAGATTAATCTGGACATTTTACTTTGACTTTGCTGAGTTATTTATAGTCTAATACTCAGAACAATTCAAATGGATTGTGTTTGAAAAGTTGTAGTAAAACACCTCCAGGGGTGGTGTTTTGCCTCAAACTTAAAACATTTCATTATATGGATAGGTAAAAGTTCTCCTCGCACATATGTGCTAGTCATTCCTGACTCTAGGGGGCAGTGCCCATCTCCGTTTCAAAACCAAAGAGCCAGCATTGTCTGAAGACATCTCTGTGGTCATGTGGCCAGCATGACTAAATGCCGAAGGCATACAGAACGCTGTTATCTTCCCACCAAAGTGGTCCATATTTTTCTACTTGGATTTTTTATGTGCTTTCGAACTGCTAGGTTAGCAGAAGCTGGAACAAGTAACAGGAGCGCACTCCATTAAACAGTGCTAGGGATTCGAACCACCAAACTGCTGACCTTTCTGATCAACAAGCTCAGCGTCTTAGCCACTGAGCCGCCCCGTCCCTTATTTTATGCATATGAGTTTTTTAAAAAAATGGGGAGGGGAGAGAGAAAAATGTAAGGAAACATAACTGCTACTGGTGTGAATTATAAATCAGCAGTCCCCAATCTTTCTGGCTTGGCAACCTGGTGGGAGAGGGGACAGTTCAGTGAGAGTGGTAGGCGTGTGCATGCGCTGCTTCATTTGCACAAGGGATGGCCCACAAGTGGAGCTCTGCACACATGCACACACTCGCCACCACGTGCCCAGTTCTGAACAAGTGGGCTGCAGCCTGATGGTTGGGGACCCCTGTTATCACCTTTTGTTCATGGATTCTTTTTCCTCTTCTTTTGAATTGCAGCTCGCCTTGTCAAAATGGAGGAAGTTGTTTGGACGATGATGGGTTTGCACCTTACGCATCTTGCGTATGCTCTCCAGGATTTACTGGACAGTTTTGTGAGCTTGACATTGATGACTGTGAACCAAACCCCTGTGAAAATGGAGGCACCTGTGCAGATATTGGCAAGAGCTTCCGCTGCTCTTGCCCTATTGGCTATGGAGGTGCGTTGTGCAGTAACCGCGTCCCGGCTTGTGATAGTAGCCCTTGTGAAAATGGTGGGACATGTCATGGACACCATGGCAGAGGCTTCATGTGTATTTGCAAACCATACTTTGCTGGCCCCACCTGTAGTTTTTCCATTAGAAATACAAGTGTGAATGTGGTAGCTAAACAAAGACACAATCAGAATCGCCACCTGCATTCGCCAGGGCACCTTAAACCAGCTCAGCTGCAAGAGAAGGAAATACTGACCATAAAACAGACAATTGAAAACAGGCAGTCCTTGCTCACTAAGAGTCAGGTGATCTGCTTCATGGTCCTAAGCTTTCTTACATGTCTTGTTGTTTTGGGTACAACTGGGATTATATTTTTCTCTAAATTTGAAGTGTGGCTATCCAATGCCAGATACAGCCATTTACTGCGCAAGGAGAGGGATTGCTTTCTAAAAGCAAATGATGATGAAAACGTTTCTGTGAATATAATATTTCCCGAGAAGATGAGCCAGGGTGAGGAATAGTCTGTGTATCTAAATCTTTTTATTTAGCAAGGACACCTCAAGCTCCATACATGTCAGGGAGACAGATCCATTTTTATTTTTACCTGTGACAAAAATTCTGGCTTTGGACCAGTTGACAAAGAAGAAAGATGCTCTGCTTTTGCCAGAGAAATACTCATTTCCCAAACATGTTTTCTAGTTCAATTGTTTTGTGAACCAGGATTGCATAAACCTTTGGAGACTGAAGGCTACATTTAGCCCTTGAGTAGAAAGCTAGGGATGCAAAACAGAAGAATCTGGCCTACATTAAAAAAAATTAATGTAAGTTTTAGTTTATTTAGTTAATTAACTATAATGCAATTACTCCTCATGCATTTAATTGCTTTTCCATTCATTCTGCTTGCCTTTGGAAGTTGTGGGGCTTTCATCACCCGAGACTTTCAAGAAGAGATTGGACTGCCATTTGTCAGAAATGGTGTAGGCTCTCCTGCTTGAGCAGGGGTGGGGGGGGGTTGGACTAGATTACCTATAAAGTCCCTTCCAACTCTGTTAATCTGTTAAATCTGTTAAATTAACTAACATTTTAAATTCATCAGCAACTTTCTTAGGGGCTCTGAAGATCACCCCAGGGCTTATTAGAGGGAAGGTATATTATGTGCCAATGTTTACAGACTTATGATACTTAATTTAGGTTTTGATCCTATATTATATACCTGGAAATAGGTTCCAATATACTTTGTGGGGTTTGCTTCTGAGCAGGCACATGCACCATTGAATTATTATTATTGTAAATAAAAAGTCAATACAATATTCTTAATTAAGATAGCTATTGGCATAATATGTGCTACATTTGGCAACTGTGATATTTCTAAATGAATTTCTAATGGTTATTTTGAATAAATAGTTATTAAGGGCTACACAGATCAAACTGTAGGAGTCATTGTTTTCTTTTGACAATGTTGATTTATACATTTTCCTCAATTTGGGCCAAATATTTTCCAGTTGAAACAGAGAGAAAATAACATCCATATCCTCAGACACATGGCTAGGAGCATTTGATAGATAAGAGCAAAGTTTCACAATCCTGGCTATTCTAAAATGGATCAATTTCAACTCCCAGAATTTTGCAGCCAACCTTGTTGGCTGAGAAATTCTGGAAGTTGAAGTTTGCATGTCTTGAAAGTTGCCATGGTTGAGAAATACTGGATCAGAGCATCAGTCTCTGCAATTCAACATTCTATATTGACCGCAGTGATTAATCAGTAGCCAACCTCAGGTTAATTAGATGCTGGATTCCAAGCTGATACCTCTTCCATTATTGTTCCCTGGCAGCTGGTTATTCAGTAGCATACTACTCTCCAAATAAAAAGATGCAATGACAAGTAATGAAAAGACTATAGATATATGGTATTTTGAAAGTTATCCCACTATATCCCCTTCATCACCACAATAAACCATGGCCCAGTGGTTAGTGTATGAGATTGGGTCTATGCTCAACTATGTATCTGATCGGGTGATTCTAGGCCATACCTATCTTGCCATCCAAGCAGTGGTGGGATTCAGGAAGTTCACACCACTTCGGGAGAACCGGTTATTAACTTTCTGAGTAGGTTGGTGAATTGGTTTTTGGAAGAAGTCATTAGGGCAGAGAAGCAGTTGTTGAATTATTTGAATCCCACCACTCAGAGGTGGGTTTTCTAATTCTCTTACTACTGGTTTGGGGGCACTCCTGTGCTTGCTCCTGAGGGTACAGGACACTTCTGTGCATGCACAGAAGTGTCCGGGCAGGTGGACAGAGCCTCCAGCCGCCGCTACTACTGGTTTGCCCGATCCAGGCCAAACTGGGAGCAACCCACCACTGCATTCAAGATATCTCACAAAGTTGTTACTGAGGTATAAAAAAAAGTTAATCCCAATGTACTTAAACTCTGAGGACAAAATAAAGAAAAACTGAGATAAATAGATCAGTGTGATTATCCTCCATGGATGAAAAAATGATGCTGAAGGAAGAATGGTTTTTAAAGATAAATTAGCTGGTTCAGAGTAGAGGTGAGATAATAAATTGGGGGTTTTCAATTTTTTACTGAAATCTCTTATTCTATGTGCATTTGAGGAATAAGTTTCAAGTTTAATTTTATTTATAGGCTGCCCAATCCTGGAGGACTCCAGTCGGCTTACAGAGAGGGGAAATAAAATAAAATAAAATAAAATAAAAATAAAATAGACAAGTTAAAAAACAACACAGATACATTCATTTCAGTCGGGGCTGAACCTCAACAATAAAGTCAACAGCCCCAGACCTGCCAGAATAGCCAGCTTTTCTGAAGGCCATGAGAGTGGGTGAGGTCCGGATTTCTGGGAGTAGTTCGTTCCAAAGGGTCAGGGCAGCCACAGAGAAGGCTCTCCTCCGGGGAGCCGCCAGCCGAGAACTGTTAGTTCACTTGCCCCCAAATTTAGTTGCTTATTGGTTTTTACTTGTCATCAAGATATAGCAGGACCCAACATATTACATGCTCATAGTTTTTACTGTATTCATGGGGAGTTTTACTTATGCTGAAATTTTATAACAAATCTAGGACACTTTAAAAATCAATGTATTTGAAATCTACTTCATCAAATGCAATTATTTTTGTTGCAATAAAAATAGACTTGGGTTGATTTATCCCATTATCAATGATAATAACAATAATAGTGATAAAATGTATATGTCACCTAACTCCCAACAATTCTATGTCAATGTTTTAAACATCCAATTGTCAAAATGATTTTTAGCAGATGTCAGATGCTCCCCTTCCCTCTGTCCCTCCTTCCAATGGACATATATTGATTCCTGAAATTCTGTGTGTTACGGGATGAGGTGGTACTGATGGATATGGAAGAAATAAATCAACACAAAAGATCCCTCTAAGTTGTTCTGTTTATGGACATGTCAAGTTCTGACCATATATCTTACAAAATTTATGCTTCTTCATTTTATATGTTTAAAAAATGGATTTTTTAAAATTCTGACAGTGATGACATCCAGTTCAACAGGAAGGTCTGGAAAAGTAATTACATGAAATGGGGAAAGTGCCAATGCATTGTTGCATATGACCAAAATGTTCAACCCAAAAAAATAGTATTTCAATCTGCATGTGGATTAAAGCCTAGAATTTCACTCCGGTTGTAGAGAATAAAGCTGCCAACAATCCATATTGTCAAAACAAATAGTCTTAGAATATAACATTGGACAGAAATATTTTCATAATGCAGAGTAAAATTGAAGACCCTTGATTATCTTTAGCCCAACAAAAGTTTTTATTCAAGTTATATACATTAAAATGTTTATTAAATATGGAAAATATATTATGTTGCAGAACTCTGAGTTATATGAAATGACAGTTGGCCACCTCATCCTCCCCAAATCCCTTAAGACAGTGTGTGTGTGTGTGTGTGTGTGTGTGTGTGTGTGTGTGTGTGTGTGTGTGTG